AGAGAGAGAGAGAGAGAGAGAGAGAGACTCACAGTCTCACTATGTTGTCCAGGCTGGCACTGAACTCCTAGGCTTAAGTGATCTTTCTGCCTTAGTCCTCTGAATAGCTAGGGCTACAGGCACATACCACTGTGCCTGGCCATGTTATTTTTAATCAAGTTACTATCTTACTGGCCTCTTACAAAATCCAATCCATAATGACAAGGATTATTATGTTCACATGTCCAAAGAAGGGGGGTGGGTCCTGATCTGCTCAAGAAAAATACATTAGTGGCCAAGTTAAATGTCCAGTCCAGTCCTTCTACCTTGGCTTGTGAGGCTCTCGTGCAGAAAACATTAAAATATGCTTTTCCTCTAATCCTACAAAACACTAAAATATGTTTTCCCCCCTAATCCTAGTGCTGCTGGGAGGACAGCTGGAAACACCAGTGGGCTACACACTGGTACAGAAGCCTAAATGACTCAGAGGTCTAACTCTTTCCAGGTTCATCCATCAGAGAGGGTAGTGGGAGTGTCAGGGGTGGAACCCGAAGGAAGGGACAGAAGCTCTTCATCCTTTAAATTCAAGGCCTGAGTCCAGATCTAGACAGGTAGAGATAACACCTGCTTTCAGAAGAAATTCACACCTGCCTGTAATCCTAGCACTTGGAAGGATGAAGCAGGATGATTGCCACTAGTTCGAGGCCAGCCTGGGCTACTTAGCAAGACCCTGTCTCAAGGAAAAAAGAGAAGAAGAAATTCACTCCTATAAGCCAGCGCCTACAAAGGCAGTTCAGCCGGGCATGGTGATGCATACCTGTAATCCCAGCACTTGGGAGGCTGAGGCAAGAGGATTGCTGAGTTTGAGATCAGCCTGGGCTACAAAATGAGCTCAAGGCCAGCCTAAACTGTACAGTGATACCCTGTCTCAAAAAGGCAGTTCAGGGCAAAACTGATACAGTGGTTAAAGAGAGCTCTACGGTCCGACAGCCTGGCTTTACATCCTGGCTCCATGTTTTCCTGCACATAAGATGTTGGGGAAGTTCCCTAACATCTTGATTTTCTTTTTTCTTTTGAGGCAGGGTCTTTCTATGTAGTTCAGGCTGGTGTTGAACACACTATGGAGCCCAGGCTGGCTTCAAACTCATGGTAACCCTCCTGTCTCAGCCTCCCGGGTGCTGGGATTATAAGCAAGTACCCTCACACCTAGCTTCCTTGATTTTCTTATCTATAATATGGAATCACAATAATACATTATCTTTAAGGTTTGCTCTGAGAAATGATCAATGCTAAATGTTCAACACAATATCTGGCACATACTAAACACTCCTTAAAGTTTAGCCATTATCGTTCAAGTTCTAAACACAGGCAGAGAGCACTTTGTGCTTCTTTATTCAGCATTCTGGGTCCTGGGAAGGTACATGACTATCATCCAATGTTACAGCTATAACAGCAAATGGCCAAAACTAGACCATAGAAGAGAAAGGGAGGAAGGCACACAGATGACATAGGTAATATGACCTGGATGGTGAAGGATAGAAGCAAAAACTGGGCATTCCAAGCAAAAAACAAACATGAGCAAAGGCTCAGAGCCATAGAAAGTGTGGCTTTGAAAAAAAGAAGGATACATTTAATGTTGATGAAAACACTGAGTAATGAAGATGGCAGAAGTGAGGAGGGAAGAAATGGGATAGGGAAGATAGAGTCAGTATAAAAACAGGCTTCAAGGCTATGCTAAAAATTTTGGGCTTTGACTGAAGAGAGTGAGGGGTTACTTAAGAAAGAGAGACATGATCAAAAAGAGATGATGAGCAGGGCAAGGTGGTGTGTGCCTGTAATCCTGGCACTCAGGAGGCTGAGGCAGGAGGATCTTTGTGAGTTCAAGACCAGCCTAGGCTACAAAGTGAGCTCAAGGCCAGCCTGAACTGCTTAGTGAGACCTTGTCTCAAAAAAGACCAAAAAAAAAAAAAAAAATTCAACTAAAAAAAAGATGATGAGCAGGGCAAGGTGGTGCATGCCTGTAATGCCAGCACTCTGAGAGGCTGAGGCAGGAGGAGCTAGTTTGAGTCCTGGCTGGGCCACTTAGAGACCTGGGGAGTCCATGTCTCTAAATAAATAAATAAATAAATGAAGATGATGATTATCTGGTGCAGGAGAGGCCTCCTGTGAACCACTGCAAACAGTACTGTATTAATTATCTCATTTATTCAGTGACTTTTCAGTACCTACCATGTGGCTGGCATTGACACCTGGAGAACAGTAAGGTGGGCAAATAACAACCACTCACAGTGCTCATCGTTTTAATAGGAATGACAGATACAAACCGAATAGTCATAAAATCAACACGATGACGATGTTCGTTCTATAGACAAAAATCAGGTAGCATTTACAGTGAGTAATGACTTGAGGGAAGGAGGATGTCAGGCACGATTTGACTTTTCATCTAAGGTATGAGGAGGAATTTAAAAAGACAAGGACAATAATCATGGTTCTATCTGTGCTCACCACTATACCCCCGTCTGGTGTAGGGAAGCAGAAGCAGAATTAGAAAAGGGTTTTTTCTGAGGAAAGCGCAGCACAAGCGTCAATTGTAATACGGTCTATGAGCATTGCCAGGGCTACTGTTGCCTCAGTTTCTCTGATTACCATCACTCTTCGGGTCTAAATTCAATATTACTCTCCTCTGAAACCTTTCGAAATCGCTCCATCTAAAATACTCACTCTTCCGATTGCTGTCCTATCTTTAATTACCGTGTACATTTACTTGTCACTCACTGATTCCTCCCAGTAGACTGTTAGCTCCACGAAGGCAGAAGCCTTGCCCGTCTCGCTCAGTTTGTATCTCCAGTGCCCAGGTCTGTGCCTTGCACGTAGGAGGCGCTCAACAACTATTTGCTAAATGAATGAATGAACCCGAGGAAACCGTAGCCCCGGGCGTGGGAGGTGGGGCTCCGAGGCTTCATTCTTTGGCTCGCGCCTAGGGTGGCCCAGCTGCGAGGGGAGCGGCTCACCGCCCCTGCCTTACGAGGCAGCGTAAGCCGCGGCCCCGCCGTGCACACCGGGGCGGTGGGCGTGCTAAGGCCGCCCGAGGCACGGCCGCGGCTCTTCCCCAGCCTGAGGCCCCCGCATCCGGCAAGGATCAGCCACTCACTCACCTCGGCAGCCTCACCACTAGCGCCGTTCCGCCTCCGCCGCCACCGCCGTTCCCGGTGACAGCTCCCGGAGCTCCCGCACTTCCGGGGTCAAACGGCGATTCCGCAGGCGCACACCGGAAACCCCGGCCCAGCCCTGCCCCCAGAGCCAACTGCCGCCCACAGGCTGGCCGTGACCACACCCTCACGCCTGAGGCCCCGCCCCCACGATCGGTCTTTGCTCTGTGGCACACCCCCCGGCCCCGCCCATGTCGGGTCAAGGGATTCCGTCTCTAGGAAAATCCGAAAATAATTCCCAGGAGGGCTTTTCAGAATCCTAGGCATCAGTCATTATTCTACAAATTTAATCCAGAAATTTTAAGAAGTGGAAAGTATAACATGATCTTAGCAAACGATTGCGTACAGACAAATGAAGGCAGACAAATGAGTACAGACTGTGATTTCATTCATAAGGCGGTGGAGTTATGATGGTGGTTACCGCTCTGGCTGGTGAACTGGGAGGACACACCAATGAGGCAGGGGATGTCCTTTCTCTTCGGTGGCTGTAGAGATAGGTTCACTTAGGGAAATTCATAAAAACGTACACTGAAGATTTGCGCACTTTTCTGTGTGTATGTAATACAAAATTTGTAGCCCTGCCTTTAATCAGTTAGTGTAACTATCTGGGGGATGCAATTTTTCCATAGATCATCTCAGGTGGTGCAGGGTTAATGGGTCCCAAGCCTGTCTTTGGATCAGAATTATCGCCCAAAGCTACTTAAGAATACTCATCCGGGGGTGGGTGTCACTCTGGTTGAGCGCATTTCTAACGTGCAAAGGCCCTTGGTTCCCAGCACTGGAAAAAAAAAGAAAAGCAGGAAAGGAGGAAGGAGGGAGGGAGGGAGGACGGATAAAAAGAAAGTACTAATGCCTGGCTTTATCTCAGTGCCCGACACACAGTAAACTTTCAAAAACAACCACTTCGTTATCCTTGAGGTGTTTGGACGCTCATAACAGAGCACCCAGCCCGGCCTTGGGGAGCGTAAAGTATTGTATTACCCAGCACCCTCCTACTGCCGGGCCCTGCTATCTGCCCTCAAGCAACAGGAAGTGCTTAGTCTGGTGCCTGTCTTCAAGAGCTTATGATGTAGGGGCGCAGGGGATTTAGCTCAGCGGCACAGCTCCAGCCCAGCAAGTGCAAGGTCGTGAGCTCGATCCCCAGTACCGGAAACACGCCACCTCTCCCGAAAGAGCTGATGATGTAGGGGCACAAGAAAACCAACAGCTATGAGGCAATGTGATAAATGCAAGGTGCTAAGAAAGTGGGGGAGATGGGTTCTAAATTAGAAATGGAAGGAGAGGGCCTCACTAATTACTTATATATTGCTGTGTAGCAATTGCTACAGACTTTGCAGCTCAGCACAGTGGTGGTGAACGTATGGCACACAGGTTATTTGTTTTTTTTTTTTTTTTTAAGACAAAAGATGTTAATGTATGAGTTGTTTTTTCCAAACAGAACCCTCAGTATTCAGATTTAATTGCAGTGTTGGCCCTTTCTGATAAATAAGTGGGCTTTGGGTGGCAGTTTGGGTGCTCATCTCTAAAAGGTTCACAATCACTGCCTTAGCACACTATACACTTGCTCCCACTGCCTGTGGGTCAGGAATCTGAGCATGGCTCCTCTGCATCTAGATCTCTCCCAGGGCTACAACCAAGGTAGCAGCCGGGGCTGGAGTCTCATCTGAGGGCTCATCTTTAAAAAGAACAAGAACAAAGCAAAATACCTGCTTCCAAGTTCGCATGGCTCAGACTAGCAATATGGTTTAGTGGTAAACTGTCTGCTTAGCATGCATGAGGCCCTGAGTTCTGTTCCTAGCGTTCCAAAACAAACATCAAGTTCACAAATGTGTGCGCTAAGTTGAATGTCTTTATGGTTGTTGGACTGAGAGCCTCTGTTCCTTGATCTTTGTCAGAAGCTGCTCTCAGTTCCTCACCACACAGACTTTTCCATCGTGGTGGCTTGCTTTGTCATGCAAGCTGAGAAGATGATAAGGAGTGTCTGCTAGGAAGACAGAAGTCACAATCTTACATAATCATGAAAATAATGTCACCTTTGTCATGTTCTTTTGGTTAGAGGCAAGCCACGAGTCACCTAGCATGGTGGTACACACCTGTAATCTTAGTGCTCTGGAAGGCTGGGGCAGGAGGATCACAATTTGAAGCTCAACCTGAGCAACTTAGCAACTTAGTGAGATCCTGTTTCAGAATTTTAAAAAATTTAGAAAGGGCTATAGATGTAGCTCTGAGCGAAGACCAAAGTTCGATTCCCAGTGGGGAAAGCAGCAAGTGATAGGTTATCCCCAGGGGATTACACAAAGGCATAAATACCAGGAAGTGGGGTTTGTAGAGGCCATTTTAAAACCTACCTGCCACTTAGGGGACGCCCAAATACCCAGGTCTGCAGCAGAGGAGGAAATGCAGAGAGATAAGAGAAACTGTGATAGTAAGGATCGTGTTTGTCATACCCTTGCTTCATCCCAAGCAATGGATGCAGCATTTCACATGTATTATTTCTTTGACTCTTATAAAAGAATTTTAAGAGGTAGAAACCTATTAGCAGAGTCACAAAGCTAGTAAGTGAGTAGAGCAGGGGTGTGATCCAGATCTGTGTGACTCCAAGCCAGTCCTCATAACCCCCCTACCAGGAACCTTCCCAAGCTCCATAGGGCAAGTCTGGGGACTCTGGCCAAGTGCCACAAGCTAGGACAGTGTATATGCTTCCCTTTATTGTTGTCGTTGTTATTGGTTTTTGCAATACTAGGAATTGAACCTAGTGAGAGCTAAGCTACATCCCCAGCCCTTTTTTATATTTTTTATTTTGAGCAGGGTCTCATAAATTACTGAGGCTGGGCTTGAACTTGTGATCTTCTGCTCAGCCTCACATGAAGCTGGATTACAGGCCTGTGCCACCCAGCCTGGCTATTGCTGTCAGTTTTTTAGACAATCCGATCTTTTACTGACATGGAAGAGACAGAAAAAAATACCCACCAGAAGGGGCAGAAAAAAGTGCCAGAAACTGTTTTGTTTTTCTCTCTAATACACATTGGACACACAGGAAATACAATCTGTATCTTGGTGATTAGTTGGAAAGAAATCATATGTAGCTGCCTCTGGTACACGGAAAACTTAGAATAGAACTTCTGGGGAAAATGTATGCATATTTCGATTTTTTTCATATGGATACAAAGATATTCATATCACAGAGATTTTGGAGCTACATAACATGATTATACAAAGATAAAAATTATCCAATAAAAAATCCAATTTCTCCAAACAGGAGATCCTTTAAAAAGAATCATTACTTTTCACCACATCATTAGAAGGCTTGAATTAGGTAATACAGATAATACCAGGCACATACTTGATGCTAAAGAAATTTTAGTGGAACCAGGTTTGGTGGCGCATGTCTGTAATTCCAGCATTCGGGAGGCTGACACAGGAGGATCTCTGTGAGTTTGAGGCCAGCCTAGGCTAAATATCCTGAACTACATAGCAAGACCCTGTCTGAAAGAAAGAAAGAAAGAAAGAAAGAAAGAAAGAAAGAAAGAAAGAATTTTAGTGGAAAGGAAGGAAGGAGGAGAGGAAGAAATAAAGGAGAGAGGGAGTGAGGAGAGAGGAAAGAGGGAAGGAAAAAGGGAAAGAGAAGGGAGGAAGGAGACTCCCTATTAGTTGGAGTGTTAGCCTTTATATTTCTTTCATCTTTCTTCTTTGGCCGAAGAGCTTAAGAAGGAATGTAAATGTCTAAAGGGGACATTCCTATGTGAGCTAACATGTGTCCAACTGAAATTAAATTAAAAAGTCAACAGGAGAAGCCTCAAACCATGTAAAGTTACACACAAATAGAAAGGAATTTCTTGGCCTGTATTTTCCCCCACATGAAAATAACAACAACAACAACTAACTTACTTTAAGAACAAATATTTGGGTTGGCAAAGGAGGGGAGTGTTCACGATGTTTATGACCAACCAAGCCTAGGGTGACTTGGGAGAAAACTGTCAGGAGTTAGAGCTAGAAAATCAGCATAGGAATGAATATGTTGGCCTGAGTCCTGTCTGGCTCAGACACTCTGAGTCACTTCAGATGAATCAGTGTTGCTTTCTTTGTGCTTCAGTCCTTTAGCAAGTTAATGTTCACGGGTTAGCCTCCACCCTCTTTTTTTTTTTTTTTTGCTTTAAAAGGATGAATTTTAATGAAGTTAGCTCTTGTACGGCCCATCCACTGTTCATGTTCTCTCCCCTCCAATAGCAGCTTGACTACTTTTCAGGGGACCATCCCTCCTACTTACAGTTTAGATTTGGAATGCCATCAGCAGGCTCATGTGTTAAATAGCCTGTGGCACTATTAGAAGATGGTGGAAATTTTAAGAGGTAGAGAGGAGTAGGAGGTTTTAGGTTATTGGGAGTATCTTCTTCCTCTTTTAATTGCTGGCCATGAAACGAGCAGTTTGCTTTGCCACATACTTCTGCCATGCATGATATGCTACTACAGCCCCAAAGCTATGGGCCCAATCAGTCATGGACTGAAATCTCCAAAAGTATGCCCAGAGTCACCCAGCAGCTGGGAGTAGGGGACAGGGGAACACTGGGGAGGCTGAAGCAGGAGGATCATCATGAGGTTGAGGCCAGCCTCGGCTACATAAGGAGTTCAAAGCCACCTTGGACTACATAGTGAGACCCTATCTCAAAACAAAAACAAAACAAAAATTAAAAACCACAAATTTTTTTTTCAGAAAGATATTTTAGAAAGATAATGCCAATTGCCATGGATGGTCGCAAAAATAGAGCTGGGCCCACATTGCAGTTATCTATTTTTGCATAACTACCCTAAAATTCAGTATCTTACAAAGATTTATATTATTATTACTGTTATTATTATTATTACCATTGCCATTATTATTATCATCACCATTACTATTTTGTGGTGCTGGGGATTTAATCCAAAGTTTTACACATGCTGGGTAAGCAATCTACCACTGAGCTTCATCCTCTGCCCTTTCTTTTTTTTTTTTTTTTGTCTTTTAGAGACAGCGTCTTGCTATGCAGTTCAGGCTGGCCTTGAGCTTACCTTGTAGCCCAGGCTGGCCTCGAA